TGCTCTATTTCAGGTGACTGATAAAATGATGCTGAATGCTGAGCACATCTTCCCCCAAAATACTCCATCATCAAAAGAGGCCTACTACTACAGAACCATATTTGAGAGGTTCTTCCCACAGGTAATTCACTTCCTACTAAAGTTTAGTGTTGACAATGCGGGTGAATTTGATTTCATTAACCTTGTTTTTCACTCGATTTGCAGAACTCAGCTCGGCTTAGCGTCCCAGGAGGGCCGAGCATCGCTTGCAGCACAGCGAAGGCTGTGGAGTGGGATGCTGCCTGGTCTAACAATCTTGACCCTTCAGGTAGAGCTGCACTTGGAGTTCATGTTTCGGCCTACGGAGACGAGGTAACCAAAGTCCCGAACGGCGTCGTACCGCCCAAGATAATCGATACCGTTCCCCGAATCGAAGTTGCTGCTCCAGGAGTGACAATCCTTAGCTAGTATAGTAGTGCTAAAATCACGTCGTGGAAATTACATGCCTTGAATGTATAAATAACACGGGTATTATATTATTGCTTATGTAGGGTGAGGCCTTGAGCAAGGGTTATTATTATGAGACCTTCCAAGTTCTTCTAGTCATCAAAACTTTTTCCCTTTAAGCATTTATGAATGTACATTTAAATTATATGATATGATTCTGAAAATTGCAAGTAGAATCAAGCAGGTCAAAGTTTCCAGATTTGTTTTATTATCCTCATCTTTTAGACCATGCAAATGTAATTTCCAATATCATACAAAAAATGTCTTAAATCGCTCAAATCGAACTTGGTTCAAAAAGTAAAGCAAACGGAAATCAAAACAGTGGAATACGGGAGCGTCAAAATCGAACGAAGGAAACCAAAAGGCTAAAGGGCACTTTGGGTATTTCGTTCCACAACAATCACCGTCGTGATGAAATGGTAAAAGATGGTCAAATTGTTAATGACGTGGCATCTCAATGGTGGTCAGATTAGATGTATTTTAAGTGACACGAGGCTTTGCATTTCAAAAGTTGAAGCTTTGCCATTCTCTCTCTTCGTTAAATTTCCACCTTTTAATTAAATCTCTCAGGTCCAATGGCTCACATTTTACCCTAATCTTAAACACCTTTAAATCTCTCCTCAACCTAATTTTTCAGCATTCATCCCACTCTTAGATCTCTATTGCTTAAAGGTTCCTCTAAAGAAGCTCCATTTACAAAACTCAAAGTTATTGTCATATCCATGTGACTCGTAGAACACAAATGAAAAGTATCTCAAGATTTCTTCGTAAGAATTTCGCGATCTTGCAAAAATGCAGCGCACGTTTTTCTAAAAAGTCGGAAGGTCAAGCTAAAAATAGTTTGGGATTGAATCGTTTAGTGTTTTGAAATTCTTTGATTGGTTTGAGAACCTGATTGAAGAAAAAAACTCTGTAGATCCAAATTTATTCTAGTGTGTTTCAATTCCACAGTTCAGATGAAGACGTTGAGGCAAAATTATTCGAGAGATTTGCTTATTTAGATCTAGTGAAATGGATCGTAGTGGTTTGATCTTGAACCAATTAAAAAAATCGGTATATATTGGATCTTGAACCTACGGAGCCTTTGACAGGCACTCGCTCATTCAAACTCAGGTCAGTCGATCCTCCATTTCATCCGACTAGAGATGTGGAGGCCAATTCCAACCTTCTCCTAAGAAAGTTCACAACTTCTCCCCTAAGAAAGAAGTCTTGGAGAATCGCCAATAATACTTAAGAAAGAGTCCTTGGGAGCAAAGTAAGTATTTTGATGTCATCCTAAACAAGTTTTAGACGTCTAAATTAGAATTAATTTTAAATTAATTTGAAAAACAAAAATTTTTAGTTTAGTAAGTAACCCTATTCACCTATTCACCTATGTTGCTATACTATCCTACAATTAGTATAGATAGTAGGACATGTGGTGGAGGTGGAGAATTAAACTCATAACTTCTTGGTTAGAGATATATGCTATTGAGCTAGATTCACTTTGGTTTGGAGTTCTAACCACTCATGGAATTGATTATCAGTTTTCTGCCCATATATCTTTAAAATGGGGTCGCAGAAAGGAAAGGAAGCATAGACACATATCAGAGATACAACTCTTGCTCCGTTGTTTGAGAGCTGTGTCCCCCTATCTAGTAAGGTAAGTGGCCCTATGTTAGTTGGGGGCCTTTTCCACCCTTTTAAATTTTCAAATACAAAAATCAAAGAAATTTCTATGGAACTCACTTATGCTTGACGGCTCATACTGATGACGAATGTGACATAATGAGAATGATGAATTTGAAAAATTGGACCGAAAATACATGTCTCCTAGAAAGAAAAATACTAGCTTAACTCATGACAACACTTAGTTATTATATGTTTGAGATTAAATGCCAATGATGTTGTAAAGCATGATGATGATGAAGAAAAATGTGTTTTGTTAAATAAAATTAAATTTCTTGAGCATTGTGTCTTTGAATTAAATAAACTTACTAGAACTCTTAGGAGTCGTTTGTTTTGTGGGAATCTTAGATTCCAGTTGGACGAGTATCTAGATTCCACGTATGGTTTATAATAGACATGGGCTATTTCCTGTTGCCAATTGGTTAATATGGGACAAAACTATGGCCATGCAGGAGAGTTTCTGCTTCCGCAAAGGTTGCATCTTTGCTTTGATCCCTAGAGGAGACTTGTTCAATTCCACATGACAGCTATTTCTAGAGGGGACGACTTCCCTACTCCTTTAAAGTTCATCTTGATGTGATTTGAAGAGGAAATTGCCACAAGATTTAATCTTGATATGTTTGAATGAATTTTCATTGAAAAAGGAAAAAAAAGCCATGGTTTTCATATTTGCCTGCTAAGTACCTCCCCAATGGCAAAAATGGATTGCCCAACCCACCTCTAAACATTTTACATTTTTGTCTTTAATTTTTTCTCCATGTATTCTTTTAATTTTTCCTCAAAATTTTTTTTATTTTTTATTTTTTAATTTATAATTAAAATAAATTAATGTACCCATCATCTAATAAATAACTTTATGCTATTAAGTATATTTATACATTAGATTTACAAATATTTGTTATCATAAATATATAATTCTAAAGCAACTTTTTTTTTACGACCACCATAGATGTGATATTTTTCCTCTTAAAAAAATATAATTGATGATAGTTTATCATCCAAGATAACATAAATTATATGATTGTCTTCTTGGAAAACTATTAAAGTTGAAAATGAAATTTATATTAAGTTAATATGAATTAATTTGTTCAAATAACATGTAGAAAAATTTTAAAAATTAAATTAGTTGAAATAAATCTATTATATTAAATGAATTTATAAATTATATAAATATTCGTAAGGGCGGTTTTGGAACATTCTATAAAATTTAACACATTCCTAAGAATAAATCTACAAAACACTATCTAAATATTAGGAAAAAATGTGGTTTTTTGGAGATGTCAGACATCCAAAGTTGCAGGCATCAATAGATGTTGGACATCTACATTCCCGAAAAACAAACGGGTCMTTAGAGAAAAAGAGTCAGAGTCATTGTGCTAAAGAGTTGGTAAAAAAAATTAGATAAAATTATTAACATGGGTAATTATCAATGAGAGTGTTACTCTATCTAGTTCAAAAACAACTTACGTTGAAGCTTTTTCTAAAAATTTGTGCATAATTCTAAATTTGTACGAATGTAATTAATTAGTGGGAGTCACCTCAAACTTAATGAAATCGTCTCATTCTCTCCTACAACGTCATCAATATCATTCAAATTCCTTATTTTGTATAATTACTACAACTTTTACCATATTTTAACATAATCAGAAATGCTAGCAGTCGTTCACTGCCTCAGGTCTTGAAGGCAGTACTTGTTGGGCTCACATTTTGTGGTAAAGACGGACAACAGTGCAATTTGCCACTTCTTCGATCAGCCTAAGCTAACATCCAAACAGGCCAGGTGGCAGGAATTGTTAGCCGAGTTTGATTTTAAGTTTGAACACAAGGTAGGAAAGTCCAACCAAGCTGCCGACACTCTTAGCCGTAAAGGCGAACATGCGGCCCTGTGCATGTTAGCCCACATTCACGCCAGCAAAGTGGATGGGTCGATCCATGACCTCATCAGAGAATATCTTCAAAGAGACCCCTCCGCCCGAACTGTGGTCGAGCTGGCTAAGACCGGGAAGACCCGCCAGTTCTGGGTTGAAGGGGACCTATTATTTACAAGAGGAAACTGACTGTACGTGCCAAGAATGGGAGACCTGAGAAAGAAGCTCCTACATGAGTGTCACGATACTCTATGGGCTGGTCACTCGGGGTGGCAACGGACTTACGCCTTGCTGAAAAAGGGGTACTTTTGGCCAAATATGCGGGAAGATGTGATGCAATACACGAAGACCTGTCTTATCTGTCAGCAAGATAAGGTAGAAAGGACTAAAATAGCAGGGTTGCTTGAACCCCTACCAACTCCTACGAGACCATGGGAGAGTGTGTCGCTCGACTTCATCTCTCACTTGCCCAAGGTAGGAGAACATGAAGCCATTCTTGTCGTTATCGATCGATTTTCCAAATATGCAACTTTCATTCCGACTCCCAAGACGTGTTCCGCCGAGCTGACGGCGCAGTTGTTCTTTAAACATATAGTAAAGCTATGGGGAGTTCCGACGAGCATCGTTAGCGACAGGGATGRCCGATTTACAGGAACCTTCTGGACGGAACTTTTTTCTATTATGGGTTCAAGCTTGAACATTTCCTCGAGTTATCACCCACAGACCGATGGTCAGACAGAGAGATTCAACAGCATGCTTGAGGAATACCTGCGTCACTTCATCGATGCCAGACAAAAGA